GAACAGACCAAAGTTAAGGACGTACTGCTCACAGTTAAAGAAATGAAATGGAGGTGGGCAGGACATGTCAAAAGAATGAAGGACAATAGGTGGACAATCAGGCTTACAAAATGGACCAAAAGGTATGGACAAAGAAAAAGAGGAAGGCCGGTCAAACGATGGAGGGATGAATTAGATGACTACTGGAAGTCTTGGAAGAAGAAACCTTGGCCAAACTGAAAATCTGAGGCTCAGGATAGGAAACAATGGAAAAAGCATGCTGAGGCCTTTGTCCAACAGTGGAACACTATAGGCTCTAAATGATGATGATGACTAAATGATGAGCTATCGAAATAAAAGACGTGCCTTGCACTAACATCGGAGGGAGTCTGTGTTGTGCCCAAATAAATGGCATAACATTTTGTTAACAAAATTGCCTATTACTGGATATAAAAACATTTTGAACTCGACAAAAGATATAACTTGTGAATATACATGTACTATACAGCCAAAATGACTAATTAAACTGTAGAAATGGAACAATAAAACAAACAAAATTAAAAATCCTTTCAAACCGTCATGTAGTATAACCAGAAGTTTATTTATCAATTGGAAATCACTTTTGAAGAAACGGGAGGTAGGTTTTGTAATTTTTACTCACGTGTTTCCCTAAATTCCCTTTCAAATCCATGGGGTTTATATGTACTTGCCAGATATGGTCATCGGAAGCCGTATGGAGACCACCAAACGGATGCCCATCAGCCAAAAACTGAACCTGAAATCTCGCCCTCTCAGGCATAATGCCATTGTAAGGGACAACACAACCAAAATAGAACGTGTTACCGGTCAGGCGAGGGGGAGTGACCTCCGGGCGACCTGCAGCTTCTGGGTAGGCAGCTTAGGGTAAAAAAATGAACACGTTTTATATGGGTCGGAGCGTTTTAATTTTAAAATTAAAATGAAGGAAAATGAAGTTTAAAGTTTGAAAATTCAGAAAAACGGTCTACATTACCATCAAATGCAACAAATGATTTTTTTCGCAAACGTCATTAAATTTTGATTTATGCTATTTTTTACGCAAAATGAAACTCGTTTCCAGCACTTGATCAGTACTTAAAAATAAGAAATGATGTATCTTACGGATACACTGCTGTCCATCCAGTAACTGCCCAGGGGGGCATTTTTCAGCTCCAGTGCCTGGTTAACAAAGAACAGAACAAATATACATATGGCATTTGGCTGCAAGTTTGATTACTTTAATACTTTAACTTTATGTTATATTTATTTATTATGATCTTTCCATAACAGCTTAAACTAACTGTAATTGGTAATACTGTTTCAGGATATCAGGTTGAATTTCGTTGCTCTGGAAAATAAAAAAAAAAGTATGTACGAATATTACCTACGCCACAATACGCCATGGGACATGCAGGTGGAGGCTGAACACGATAGATATAAAACCCGTCCATGTTAAAACGACTGGGACAATGTTTGATGTGTATGGTTCCAGTCCAACTACATTCATTATTAGGAATGCCGTAGTTAGCACAAACTCTAGCTTCAGTTTTCGCCCCTTCTTCCAAGGTTGGGTGAGGGTCCCGTAAGAAGACGGGGGCACCAGTTCCGCACTGCATCGGCACAGGCGCCTTAGGTGTGGCATCTGCCATGCGGTCCCCCTGCTTGTCAGTGAATCGGTACCATGACGTAGGGGACAGGTACCTGCAGTAATAAAAAATGCCTTTTTTTAATCAAAATTTAATGCTTGCTCCTTAGGATTTAACAGCGTATCGAGGATACCAGGCTGTAAACCCATCTTCTAACTGTTACCATAATGTAAATGATGTTCTTTGTAAATCTATGGTTTGACTAGTGTATGTTGGGGGTGGGGGGACAGGGACACATTGAATGGTTTAACCTCGATTCGCCCAGCATGGCTACATGTAGCAGGCATACTGATAATGATAATAGTAATAAAAATAAATAAAATATTAAATGCAGATAGGAATAGTCTATTAAATTTACCTGTCACATATAAGACTCATCGTTCCTAAGTCAGCTGTTATCGCTCGGTTTCTCACCCATGTCGACGCTTCAAAAATCCGGTATTGGTCAGGATCACCAGGTGTACACGGATCTGCTACCGTCTGTTTAAAGACACACAGCCCTAGCAAAAAGAGACCGATTGGCCGAGCACGGCGTTTATTCATCTTCCACAATGTTCAACTCCACTGCAAATGCACACCGACAAGTTTGTTTTTAAATGTTACTTTATTGCGCAGTAAAATATAACAATGACCTTCAAAGTGACTTTATTCGCGTGCTTTTCGGTTAATTACTTCTAAGAAGAGTTAATGGCACTATAAAAACTTCTTATTGGTTTTAATGTGTCCTTGAATTTAAGAACATGCAACCCTTTAAATGTGGTTTTCCACACTAATTTCCATAGAAGTAAAAAAAGGCAATAAAGGTTAAAAACACCACCGAGTGTCATCAAATTTATACGTATATACATACATACATGTAACTAGCATCAGAATGTGTTCTTTCTTTAATACTGCAATTTTCTCCTGCAGGAGGCCTGGGTTGCCTCCAACGAGGGTTTAAAGACACACAGCCCTAGCAAAAAGAGACCGATTTGCCAAGTACGGCGTATATTCATCTTTCACAATGTTTAGCCCCACTGCAAATGTACGAAGCTCTTACACTTTCGGTTCCCAGCTCTGTGTGCGGCTGTTATACTCTACGCGTTTGGAATTAAACACTAACAGATTCACTTCATTGGAGAATCGAACGCCATCATTACTGACTGATATTTGCAATCTAACAACAACATGAACTGCTTGGCCCGCAATTGGTTTCGCTAGCACAGCACTCCGCACTGTACTGGGAATGTGGCAGATCACTTCGCCGAATGACACGAACTCCGCCTTCGTGTTTTTGGTTGTAACATCACTCTCCACGAACTCGTGTCCATTGTACGTCATCTGAAAATACAGGGTTTTTTATCAAAAGTACTTATTGTACACCTTCAACAACTCCCCCAAGCATTTTTCTCAGCTTTCGGCATTTTTCTCTAGACGAAACACGGTTATTTTAGGTGTTATTTAGATCTTTTAAATGCTACAAGAACAAAACTGAAACACTATCATTTGTATTGATTCATCTTTTAAAAAGTAATAATTACAAACATGCTATGTCCATGTCTACATTTATGTTGTAAATTATTTGGCCAGTCTGTATAACGTCCCAATCCCTGGAACGGATGCAAACGAATTATTCAAAATAAACAATTCTTCACTCACCACTATGTGTTGTATCTTGCAAGTGAGATTCGAACTCCTGTAGAACGCTCCAGTCGCTTGAAGTCTGGTCGTCAAACATGGCCGTCTGAGCGCATCGCAGGAACGCGTTTGCACAGCGCGCCCAGATATTCTGAAGAACACGCTGGGGATGCTATCTGTCCTGACCGAGCAGTCCTCAGCAGTGAATCCAGCGTGACAGTGACACTGTCCATTGTCGCACCGACCCTGTCCGCTACATTGGCGAGGACAGCGAAGACGCAAGATTTTCTGAACATTTTCTTTCTCACTGGAAAGCGTGGATGCATACTGGATGCAGCGGTCCTCCATATTGTCGGAAGCGGCTTCTGCAAACGTTATGTCGTTTGTCAACTGGATATTAAAAAATAGAATGTTTGATTGAAAAAAAGTGTCATGAAAAAGTTGACCTGTGTTATATTTCTAAATAGTATTGATTTATCGGTAACTTTGGGTGCAGTTTTGGGGAATTAATCTTTCGTCAAAACGTCTAATTATTTGCATACGTGTATCTTTGTCAAATACATCGGTGGATACAGCGATCCTTCCCTTTTCATTAGAAATTGGGTGTTATATGTGGCACCCTTACCCAAAAGGGAGAAAAGGTACACTTTAGGGTTTGCGTTTACGGAAGAGTCAGTTAATAGTCCCTTTTGAGCACGACATATACAATTAAACTGATTAAATGAATAATGTCTTTTCCGCACCTGAATATCAGATATACATTCTTCCATCGTGGAGCTGACGTCAAACCCGGGGAGATCCTTGCACAATGTCGAAATTGAAGAGGTCTCGATGGCCTCACTGCAGATGCGCCTGATCTCCTGAGGTTGGAGCACCACCGGTACTTCGTCAACAGAAACAGCTTTCAACATAGCCTGCACATTCCTCCCGGGTCCATCACCAGGCCCACCAGGCCCAACACGGGGTTTGATAACTACAGGCTGCCGTACAGTTGGGACCACGGGTGTGTACACGTAATCGTCAAATTCCATGACGTCATCAGAGGACATCATAAGGTCCTCAATGTCCCGTCGCTTCCGTTTTCCACATGTCTGAGGAGTGATGATCGGTTTTACTGGCTTCATGTTCGTTAGGTCGGTTGGATCTGGTACAACTTTGGCATAGTCGCATACGAATCTCTCTTCCCCCGTTTTATTGCAATAGCAGAAGTCTTGAAGGGTTCTTGCCAAAGGTAAGGGGCACGGAAGCTTTCGACCGAAGTAGCTGTCTTCAACTGTCACTCTTGATAAATAATAAAATAATAAATAAAATAAATAAATAAATAAAATAAAATGAAAAATAAATAAAGAAAATAGGGCTTATATGAGAGTTATTACATGTAGTTATATCATATTAAATCATGACATATCGAATATTTTACGCTTTGTAAATTAATATATCTACTCATTTTGGTAATGAGCTTTTATAGGCTTACCTTGAAATTTAATTACACAACGTTTGATGTCCACAACTTACTTGTTGTTTGAAATGAAATTTGGCAGAGATCCAACGATGTCATTATCACTCTGGTCATCATAATTACCGCACAACCCAGCCATGTGCTTCTTGTAACCACTGGGAACGCTGACTGTTATATCTAGACCCCAATACCTGTTTACGCGGGCCTCCACCCAGGCGCCAGATGTAAACTTCAACTAAAACAGACATGAGTATTCATATATATATATATATATATATATATATATATATATATATATATATATATATATAAGTGTGGGGTAATATGTTTTATTAAATCGTATTTAATCATACTGTATTTAAAGGGATAACAACTGTTAATTTTGGCCAAAAAATGAATCTTCCTGGGGTAAACAACAATTTCCCATCCTTACCAATGGTTAAAGAATCCATTTCTACATTCAAAGTTAGTCCCTGGTTTTTTTTCTAAAAAGAGTATAGCCATCTATGGAGGTCACATGGTTGAACACTGTATATCTTAGATTGTGACTAAACGTACCACATATTTTTTGCCCGTGGAATCAGAATGGATGTACGTCCCGTTTGGCAACGTCCCAGTGATAGCAGTAGTCCTGTAATACACTCTCGGTTGTAGTTTTGTTTTTCGGAGTTGGTCCACGTTACCATGGCAAAGGTCTACTATTAAGATGTGGGGACCTTCCCTCGCCGCCACCCCGCAGTTGCATGCTACGCCAGAGCTCGAGCAAGACCAATGCCGTTCGCGAACCTTGAACAGAAAATAAATAAGTTTTTCGAAAATGAAATAAAAAGTAAAAACCCGGTAATTGATACAAAAAGATAACATCGAAACCTTCTTTTTCGATCATCAAAGGCTTAACCTTACAATTGATTTAACAACTTGTCAATGTAGCTATTTCTCGAAAAGCTTTAAATGAAATTGTTACCTCAAATTCACCATATTTTGATCTAGTTAGGACGAATTCTCCAAACTCACGCAGGATATCAAATCGTCTATAAAAATAAGAAGACACACGAGATTTAAAAGATAATTTCATTCCATTAGTCACTAACAAAAAACGGGCCAGACTTCTGCACTTTCTTGAAAATCCCCATTATTCTCAAATTCTCATTTGACGACGACGGTAAGCATGGGTAACACAGCTTGGAAGCTTGTGTAAGGTTTATATTGCAGTTATATTAAAAAAAAGAAAAAAAAACTACAGAAGGCTGACGAAAGTATTGCACCACCCGTGTGAATAATGCACTATGTGACATGCGGGCCCGCTCTTGAAAAAGTGATGCACGGTTTATTGCTCGCGTAACCAGTGATGAATTTTCCTCCATGTGTTCTATAAATGGTGACATCGAAGGTGTAACGCCCTAATGGCTGCCAAGTTGCTACTATGGTGAAGGTACAGGAGGCCACAAATGAAGAAAGGAAATAAATAGATTCTCTGAGGGAGAAAGATATAGATGTCCCCAGACAGCCACCAGACATAGTGTGTTTGGTAAGACTGTATACGGAGTTTGCAGAAGGATGGAAGACACTGGTAATGACCATAAGTTACCACAAAATAGCCTGAAGAACACTAGTGCCAGAGACAACAGGCGTCCTTTTGCTGTCAAAGCTTAGAGAATTTGAATTGTGCAGCGAATTAGCTTTGCTGTGCTGGCGCAAAATAACTGGTCAAAGAAGGATCCATTTAAAATTATCACAAGGGTTCCCACTTATCACCTTGGTAAACAGATGAATAAGAGTGACATGCGCAAGTAGCATTGCATGGACCGCAGGTCAGAACTGGGGCCATTTTGGATTTTCTGATGAGATCATATTTAGTGTTAACAACATGGGTGGACGAAGGTATGGAGAACAATGTCCAGTTCTTATCTGCCAAAGAATATGCATTTCCTTGCCAGACAAGGCACTTACGTAATGGTTTGGGGTTGTATTAGTTTCTTCGCAATTGGTGAACTGGGGTTGATGCTGGAAACATGAACGACCGGGTGGACTGGCTTGCCCAATCACCAGACGCAAACCCCATTGAAAACTATGAAGTGAGAGGATCGCCCCTTTACCAGAAACGCTCTCATCCAAAGTGTCTTTAATTTACAGCTTGTGCCAACATAGCTCTCAGAAGATTACTAAACCGTTATCAGTCTATGCCCAGAAGAATCCTACAAAACAAATGCTGACATAAAAACATGTTTCATTTAAGGGCAAACCACTGGCTTGTAAATCTGTAGTAAAGATACTAACTTGACATAATCAGTTTTTAATAAAATACCAATTAAAAAACCTAACGTATCCAATTGTTGTTCACCTTAAAACAAAATGGTGCAATGCTTTTGTCACCCTTCTGTAAATAGATAAATTACATAAAAAGACTTGTATAAATTTTATAAAAAGGTTTTAATTACATAAAAAGTGCCACTTAGTTCTGCACATGCAACTTCACTTTCATTTAATTGAATAATAAAAACCCAATCAAATTTGATTTATTACCCGACTTGACTTAATATCCTTACCACAAGATTCGTGAAATTTAACAAGAGTACATTATCGTTACCTAACATCATTTGCACCCAATTTACTATTCAAATAACATTAAGAGTGAAAGAAGGCATTTTGATAAGCACATCTCGTAAGGGTTCATCACATGTATGTAATAAATTTTCCCTCAGGATTACTCACCTGCCATCAAATGTTTTCAGATGGGGATCCGTGACACTAGTGCAAATTCCCGTGTTCACATCTACTGTGGTTACCTAGACATTATTGTATTTAAGTCTCTAATTAGAGCCTCTTATTGACTTCTTGTTGTTAATATAGTAACGCTGTCTCTTCCTTTCAAGAAGCAGAATGCAGATGTACACTTTTGCAGACTTTTGCATTTTACCTTTCCCGCAGTACAAAACTCTACAATTTTTAAAATGGTGAGATGCCAATGCTTCTTTTCTAATTACTATTTTAGTGTTCATTTTTGGCATAAAAAAGCAACTCTTTTGAGTATACATGTACAAAAAATAATGTAAAATCAATTTACCTGGAATGCTGGAAGAACATAATTTTCCCAAATGCTCTGTCCCAGCGCCGCTGGTATTGGTGTAAAATACAACAGTTTGGGGATGTCTGGTCGACCAGATGGCCGCGCATTGTCCATCACGGCTTGTATTTTGACTGGTTTGCTTCCAAACAATTTATGTGCCGTCTGATTCCAGTCTCGTTGAAGGAATATCGTCTCGCAAGTAGATGTTACGACGGTCTTGGCCACACCGGGACTCTCAGTGCGCAGGGTTACAGAAAGTTGGCTCTCCAAACCAGGTATAAACATAATTTTGTGTGTCTCCATGGTGACAGGAATTGTTGAATATAACTGGATTTCTGTGGGTTCGGGTGCGTCTTTCCGCACGACTATCTGGTTGATGTCATTACCGTTAATATCTGCTATCTGGAGACGATGAAATGCATGATGAAAGACAGAATGTGCCTTTTTTGCAATTGCATGAAATAACTTTTATTTTGTGGAAAATAATGGCGCGAATTAATGGGAAAATAATTGAGCTAAGAATAAGTTCGTTCCAACCGAAATTAAAATTGCCATCTCTCTCACGCCATAATGACTCTCTGCGTGTGTGGGGTCTCCTTTTTAATTATAATTTCTGCAGTTCAAGTTTTTAAGGGTGGTATTTATTGTTTCGTTGTTATGCATGTAAATATTCAATGAAATAAGACACATATAGAGCATTTATTACTATAGTATTATAATTTTTTTAATCAGTAAAAACTCAGTTTACAATATACTGTAAAAGCAGATCTACAATATACGGAAACAAACCTTTATTCCAGCAAAGTAGTTATTTCTGCTGATGACAGGTCTGCTTGTAATGGCGTGGCCGCTCCAGTAAGGACGAACCTGACATCTTATCTGTTAAAAATAATTGCCCCACAAGATTTAAATATGCTTACAGAACTTCACTCCAAAGGAATAAAAATGTCTTGCATAAAAACATTGTACAAAATGTCTGTAGAGAGAGCAATTGAAAGAAAAGACGTGCCTTGCACTAACATTGGAGGGGGTTTGTGTTGTGCCCAAATAAATGGCATGATGTTTTTTTAACAAAATTGCCTATTAGTGGATATGAACACATTTTGATCTCGACAAAAGATATAACCTGTGAATATACATGTACTATACAGCCAAAATGACTAATTAAAATGTAAAAACGGAACAATCAAACAAACAAAATTAAAACCCTTTAAACCGTCATGTAGTATTACCTGTAGTTTTTTTTATCAATTGGAAATCATTTTTGAAGAAACAGAAGGTAGATTTTGTAATTTTTACTCACGTGTTTCCCTAAATTCCCCTTCAAATCCATGGGGTTCATATGTACGTGCCAGTTATGGTCATCGGAAGCCGTATGGATACCACCAAACGGATGTCCATCAGCCAAAAACTGAACCTGAAATCTCGCCCTCTCAGGCATAATGCCATTGTAACGGACAACACAACCAAAATGGAACGTGTTACCGGTCAGGCGAGGGGGAGTGATCTCCGGGCGACCTGCAGCTTCTGGGTAGGCAGCTTACGGTAAAAGGGTGAACATGTTTTATATGGGTAGGAACAATAAGGAAAACGGTCTTCATTACCATTTAAGGGTTTTTCAGAAACATCATTTAATTCTAATTTATGCGATTTTTTTTACGCAAAATGTAACTTGTTTCCAGCAATTGATCAGTACTTAAAAACATGATATGATGTACAGGTCTACCCAACTACCAGACTCGGCACCGAATGATCCAGAATTCACCGGTATATCGGACCACACTACCCGTTTTCAAGGTGTGTGTCAGATTGCATTTAGGAGTATTNCTGATTTTCGAACTTGACCTGCATTTTAGTAAGACTGATTACTCCTGTGAGTTTCATGACAACAGGTCTATCGGTTTTCCTTGAAATGTGTTAACAGTGTTGCATATATGCTGAAAAGTGAAAAAACAGCATAACTACTAAAATAGTGGCCCGATCATGCCGATTTTCGAACTTGATCTGTGTTTTAGTAAGATTGATTATTCCTGTGAGTTTCATGACAACAGGCCTATCGGTTTTCCTTGAAATGTGTTAACAGTGTTGCATATATGCTAAAAAGTGAAAAAACAGCATAAATTCTTCAATAATGGCCCGATCATGCTGATTTTCGAACTTGACCTGCGTTTTATGAATATTAGTCAGCTCTGTTAATATAAAACCAAAAAGTAAAACTGTCTTCCGCTTATGGTGTTAACGCTGAAAGTGCACGGCGACATGATCGGCGACGGCGACGGCGACGGCGACGACAGACGCAGGTGATGGCAATATGTACAGACACATCTGTGTCTGTACATAAAAATTTATGGAAAGACAGATAGAAAAAAATTTTTTTTCAAAAAATACAGCTGTTACTACAAAATGTCGCCAAAGAGATTGCAATACACTGCATCTAATTTTAAATCAGTTTCATTTATGCCAAGGCTGCAAGTACAGTCATGCCTTTACTTTCTTATCTTTCATTATCAATCCCCAATTTCAAGCTCTACCCACCTTCATGGTCCTCTTTTTGCCCGTCTTCTGTGATTTCAGTAGCAACAGCTGTTTCTTCAGCTCCCTGTTTTCTTTCTCCAATCTCTCAACCTCCTTCTGGTACCTCAGCTGAACCTGCATCATCTCTTCCTGGGCTGCCTCCAGCCTCTGTTTCTCTGTCTAAAGTGAAAGGATTTTCATTTATTTATTTATTTGTTTTTTTTTTATTTATTTAGATTAATAAATTAATTTTTCTATTTCAGGAAAATTACTTAAAAATGATTTTTCCTGAAATATATAAATTAATTTATTAAGCTAAATGAATAAATCGATTAATCAATAACAAACAGAAAATAAAAAACATGAAGAGTAAGCTTATATATTATAATACTACAGACTAAATTTTGAAAGAAGACTCATTATTTATTATCTCACTTGTATTCACTGGAGATTCTGAAATAATAATCAGGTCAAGTTGTTCAATTGAATGGCCAACACCGTTAATCTGAAAATGTTGCTATTAACTGAATCACTATCAAATTGAATTCTGGTATTTATTTTAAAACCCACTTCTTAGAAAACAGCATGGTTACCCCATTGCTAAATGATAATTACTGCTTCAAAATTGGAGTGTTCTAAAACCATGTGAAAACACTTGGACTAACAAATAATTGTTCCCTAAATAAAAAAAGAAAGAACAATATGCCTACCTTTGGTTTTTCAGCAGCTTTGTCGTAATCTGTTGGAGTTGCCATAGCATTAAATACAGAAATTGATCCTGGAGTGTCTAAGGTTAAATCTGTCAGATTAACATAAAATAATTATGAGACCACAAAATATACAGCAAGTAGTCTGTGGTTCTTTTGATGAAAGCAACTTACTCATTTAAGATTCTTTAAAGGGAGGGGGTATTTTTCCTTAAATCTTTGTGAAACGAAAAAAGGGCGCATGGTTATATTGTTTACAAACTTTAAAGTTACATATGAAGCGAGAGTAGATTCCTTGTAACACACATAACCACTTTTACTAGTTTGTTATACGACTCTAATGTCGACATGCCAACAAATAAACCAAATATTATTAAATAAATAGGTCAGCCAAAAATAGCTTTAAAATGACACACAAAGCACAGAAAGAAAGCAGAAAACATCTGTTCAAATATCTACTTTTGATAAGTAGCCAATGTGGGAAGTAGTTCACTTTAAGTTAATATTTTATATGTTACTAAATGGTGACATTTGGTCAGGTTTAGTTGTAAAGATTTGACTTCATATGAAACTTTAAAGTAACTTTTCTTTAAATAAATTTTATATGACAGGGCAACTGAGCTTTACTACTGTATATGCTGTGAATGCAAATAATAATAATAAATATATAAATAACTGAATAAATAAATAAATAAATAAATAAATAAATAGTATGTAGCACACACAAGGCCACCACAAGCACTGTAGAAAAAGTACACAGGCTTGGTAAGAGCAGGTGCAGAATTCAAGAAATTATACAACTACTTTGCGACAGTTTATTTTTAAATCTAAAAATCTAGAAACTAATAATTTTGAATGAACAGCACTCAAATTTGAAGTTAGTCTCCAATTTCTGAATCACAGTAAGAAAGTCATTGAGATAAACTGCCAAATTTAATGGCAGGTTTAAAATGAGATCATTTAAACATGACCAAAATTTTTCGTTGAACTACATATTTCAAATCTTACTTAGTTACTTTAGACATAAAAAAATCTGAGGAATATAAAAAATAATATATTATATGTTCTATAACTAACTTCTCTCTTGATTCTTGAATTCTACAAACCTTTGCCTGAGGTTGTTAAATGTTGCTTCTTCCCTGTGAAATATATACAAAATAGTAACAAATAAGGGCAAGGTTATATTTTTAGAGGTCACATGACACAATGTGCGCACTCAGAACAGCGGACTTACATATCTGCAGATCAAATATGGCGACCCACTAAGAAGCTTGCTGCTCAATTCCCAATTATATACTGAAGAGATTCCACGTGAGGATTACACAACAAGCATTTAAGCAGGTCTGCCATATTTGATTCGTAGATCTGTAAGTCCGCTGTTCTAAATAATCTCAACGAGGTCAATTTTCAAATTGGGGTCAAAAAAAGGGAAAAAGTCCATGTGCACAAAGGTCAAATGAGTAAAAGCAACTAGGTTAAACACATTAAAAAGCAACTTTGATTATGGCTACAGTAGTTGACATCATGTACTTCAAAACTCCTTCCCCACTGGGCCTATTAAATTTCATCAAGTGAATACTGGTGTCCTATGGATAATGCTGTCCATTGGATAGGATTGTTATCCTCTGAACAGTTATCCTGAGGATAACAGCAATATGTAACCACTGGATGTTAATGTCAGAGACAAAAGAAGATTCCAGTGTTTGTGAAACATTACTCTATTCTCCAGATAACTGAAAAGAAGATACCAATTTTATCCATAGCCAGTGTTAGCCAATGTTGATGAAACTGAGCCCAGCAGTTGTATGACAAGTGCTACATTAATGCTCCCAAGGAAAAAAGAGAAAAATATTACCTATTTCTCCCTTGTCTGACATATTTTCTAAAGCATCCCTCAGAGATGACAACCCTGGCAAATTATTCTTTACGGTGACCTGGAGTAAAAAAGTAATTAAATGTTATGTTACAGTAATGACTTTCAAGGGGGGGGGGGGGAGAAATAAATATCAATCTTTCTGTTACACAATTTTGGAATCATTGAAAATATATTTCTGTGTAGTTCTAGGAAGCCTCGTAGCCTGTTTTTCATTTTGGTTGCTATTACTCAACAGAAATGTTCTAATTTTATGAATTTATGCCTTAAAAATAATTAAAAAAAAACTATATTTGTGAAATTCACAATTTTCCCCATTGAAACAACTGAGTCACTACCATAATACAGGTATTAAAAACATAACACAGGTGACACTCTATTTTTATGAACATACAGTTAACTTTAAGTTTTTTTAGAGGTAAGTGACAAAAATGTTACAGACACAGGAAAAAAAATAGTTGGAGAACTTAAAATTCACACCCTTCATTCCACCCCTAGATTTCATTCCTACCATTAGACTGGCAGCATCATTAGACATGGTGGCCAACGTCCTTGAAGTAATCTCCGAAGCCGTCCTCAGAGACTTCACCGTGTTGCTTTTCCACTTCTCCATGGTAGGTTTCACCCAGCCCATATCTGGTACCTTGTCTTTCCATAATACATATGTCTACATGGAGAGAAAAAAATTAATATACAATCATATATTACGTATTAATCTTGGAAAACACAAGACATTTGTTTATGCTGTGATCTCTGGGATGGACTTTCAAAGATTTTGGAGAGGTTGCTGCCTTTATTTGTTTTATCTTGAAACAGGTTAAGGACTTTACCAACGCTAGTGCAACTAAAAATATTAAATCTCTACCATGTTTCCAACATATCTATTTTGGAACTGAAAGTTCATCTTTAAATCCATAATGATAATCATGATAATAACTGTTTTCACATACATTAAAATTCCAAAACATAATTTTTAAATATTATACTAACTGAATTAAAATATATCAAATAATAATATATTATTCCAAAATAATAATGCCTGAGAAATTAAGTAAATCTGAAAAGCAAAATTTCCATTTATTCAACATATATCTAATTTAAAAGTTAAGAAATAAAACAAAAATCTAAAAACTGAACAGTCATATTATCATGAAAGAAGATCACCTTCACTATTATGAGTGTGGTGGCAGTTCCCAGTACAAGTGTTATCAGCCCGCGTCCCATTGCCACTGTGGATTGGCCAATCTTCAGCACCTTTGGTATTTTGTACTGTTGTTTGGTATTCACATGTCTAACACCTGAAAAACAGACTACTAGTACACTATCAGAAATTATACTGCAAACCATTTTAATCCAGCTCCTAGAATTGTACCTTCTCTTGAAAATTTTACTCCTTTATTGTACAATTCTTTAAAGAAAAAAGTTACACTGTGAAATCTTTTTTTCAAACCTTTTTCTTAACTATATGATGAGGCAAAATACATTGAAACAGTAAGATCTTTACAATGGGAAAATACTGGGGTCTTCCACAGTAAAATAACAAAAAATAAGGCATAAAATAATAATAATCATAAAAATACTAAATAACATGATCCCCGACTTTTGTCCCAAAAGTGCAGGGATAACAAGCACACAGACCTACAGTAAAAAATACTGACCCCCAACTGATAGTAATGTGCTCTTTAACAGAACACTCCTAGTGTACCCCAAGGATGAAGTGGTTTGCCTATACCCTGAGGGCTGGTGGTTCTGTGTAAAGTGTAGCGCAGAGTTCTTCCCCGCCAAACCAGTGTAGGTAAGTAGCGCCCTCTTGTGGGCCAGTGTTTTCTGTGCATCCGCGCACGCCTTCATGTGATTCTTTAGGCATGCCTGGCAGCCAGGGCTGGAAAACAATGAATTTATTTTCTTAATTTTTGACTTTTATCAAGTTTAATTTGTTTCTAAATGTGAAAATTGGTTGCTGCAACAGTAATGGCACTGACAGGTACAAATATACTATAAAGGGTAGACTTTTTAAAATGTAGGTTGAACATCAGAATGTCTTCTTTACAAAAATTCTGCTCGTGCAGTGAGTGTAAGAAGGTTAAAAAATGGCGTTTTTTTATGTGTAAATTTTTTTTCGAAAACCGACCCAGAAGTTGATGTATTTGATCATAGCATCAGTCTGCATGTTGGTAAATAATATATCACAAATGTATAAAAGCAAAAGAGATGACTAGATGCACGTTAACGTTCTACTTAAATTTCGTCAGCGAACTCAAGAAACAGCCTTCGATTGCGTCGGAACTGAAATCTGAAATGTCACGTTGGTCTGCAATGCGGCATGCCATGGTCCACATAAGAATGATGAGCTCAAAAGTCACATTTGCTTACCCAAAAGAACCACGAAGAATTCTTAACATTCTGCGACTGGGATACAGATTAACAAATTGACTACGGCATCTTCCTAAGGCAAAATTCAAGGAGGCGAACGTAGATGTCACCCTTCGTTCTCGGACGCAAAGACACAAATTTTTCTATATTTTATTTCGTATACAGCCATGGAAAGTAATATTTTGGTTTTTAAAAATTAACATGCAGAACATATATTTTAAAACACTATATAGATAAATTTTGATGAATAATCTAATTTTTGCTAAATGTTACATCTGAAAATTATTACGAAACTATTCGTTATTTACATTGACAACACAAATGTAAACATGGCGGACGACGAAGTAGACCAAGGATACACGTGGGAAAACGAATATGAGAGAACTTGGTAAGAAGGCATCGTTTACTTGATTTATTAACATCATATGTAGAGCTGAGTGTGTGACTTACTAATTACTTGTTGTGGCCTTGTGTAAGAATCGGTGAAGTGTTTAAACTGAGAAAGAAACCACCGCCCCCTCCCCCAGCGAATGTCCTGGCCGGTTGTGTTTTGGTCTCTTGCAGTGAAGTTATTTTTATGTTTACTGAAATTGCTGGAGTTTGAAGTAAAATATAAGTTAAAGGTGAAAAATCGCCTTCAGTCGTCGTTCCGAAAAAAAAAATCAAACCACAAATCAGGATTTTTATCTTTGGAAAGAAAGGAATAAAAATAAAATAAATATTAAGAATAGCGTTAATTGCAAAATATGTAGACATATGTAGAATACACATTCAGTTGAGCTTGTTCCAGTTTTGCCTTTAGTCTTTATCTCCATAGCCTTTTTTTTTCATATCCCTACAGCCTCATTTTTGTAATGAGTCACATTCAGCTTCTCAGTTTAAATACATCCGTAGTCTATATCTCTACTGCCTTATTTTCATGACCTGTATGCAACAAATTGAGGCTTTTATGCCCATGTTCTAAATAACTCTACAGCCTTATTTCATATCTCTACAGGGAAGCTCTGCAAGAGGATGATGAAGGGTCCCTTCGCACAGCTGTGGATGGCATCATTCACAAAGGAAAGAGAAAACGGCTGCTGGAGAAGAAGGCAAACATCAGATTGGGTATGGTACGTATATGATACAAATATTTTAGGATGTAGAATTTTTATACACTGACAATATATAACTCCTTATTTTTTATTTATGTGCCAGATAAAACATATCGCTTATTTTTTGTTACTTAAAACTTTTCTTTTTTGTTTAAAAGTGATTAAAAAGTGGTCATGGTACAAAATCCTCCTTTGTAAGAAGTTTTTATTCTCCTTAAAAAACCCTTTTGCCACTTCCAGTCCTCAAGTTCAATCAACAAAGTTGAAAACCACATTAGTCTAATCTGTGAAGGTGTTCAGCAATACATATTTTATTCTTATTGTACCACCAGCGTTAGCGCTGGCGGTACACATGGTTTTGGTCCCGTCCGGATCGTTCCGCCGGCTCCGCCGGCTCCGTTGGCTCCGCCGGCTCCGCCGGCCCCCCCGGCCGGCTACCGTTACC